AATAGTAAAGGGGTGAGGTTTAAACTAATTAGTCTGCTCTTCCTTTCTGCTCTTCGATATTCTGTTACGCCCTTATTTTTTTATTCATGGACTTTGTTGAATATAATTTATTGCCTAATTCAATCGAGCGGATAAGTATAACAACAAACATCCCAGAGCTCAGAAAGTGACAATGTTTGTTGGTCTACTCTTATACTCCCAAACTTCGGTATAGAAACATTTAGCAAAATACCTACTGCACGCATTAATTTTGAATTTTTTTTTACCAATGAATATTTGCGAGCGTCTGTTGCGGCCCGCAAGCTTCTCGCCGCGACATAATTTTCATTAATATTTTGTTTCATTGAATTTACATTACATTAATACGGTAAGTTAGGAGTTGTAAAAGAACGCTTGTAGAAAAACGAGGAGTGCACATGTACCGACCCAGGGAGGTGTAATTAACAACTTTAGGGACGGGGCTACATGATGTGGAGTATTATAGGTGACATCTGGGCGCGCGTCCTCGAGCGAGGTCATTTTTCAGTTTTTTCTTGAAATTAACCACCTTTTTGCAAGGCGCGTGTCTTCGAGGGGCACCAAACGTTTCTTGTGCCTCGAGCTGTATCTGAAGTGTCCCAAAGATTGAATACTAGTTTTATGTTTTTTTTAGCAAAAATCAATCAAAATGCGAATTGCAGGTGAACGGGACGTCGGAAGTAGGTACCTACCGACAAACAGAGAGGCAGCCTGCGACAGGATCTTAGTGATGGTTGAGTCAAAATTTCCAACGCGAATTGCGGTTGAAGGGGAGGTCGGAAGTGAGTACCGAAAAAGAAATGTGGTAGCCTTCGATAAGATCTTATTGTGGTGGAGTCAAAACTGGATAATAGAATACCGATCTGCCACCAAAATGCGCTGAAGTCCTTGATCTCACTCAAGGGCTCGGCTTCTGTTCCTCGTAGCGAAGAAACTCTTCCTGGTTTTATGGTTTATCAAAGTGTACGACTCCAACTCCCCTGCTGAAAATCGTATGCGATTCTTCGAATCTTGTTTTAGGTATAATTTACGAAGAGGTCCATGTTTAGTGCTTGCCCTAGGCGCCATTTGGACATTCTCAAATTTTATACCTACTTCATATTCGACGTTTTTAATTTTTATATGCACTACAAATAACATTTGTCAAATATTATTTCCATAATACTACTTCAATAGCTCTAAAAATATAAAGAAACAATGTCATGTCTCCTCATGTACTAAAATAAATAATTATATCAAGTAGAGCGATAGCGATAGTTCCAAGACTAAAAGATGGCGAGATGCGCGTATGTATATCATTGTTTTTATTCATCTGCATAGTTGCTCGAGGTTTAAGGAATATTTATCTACTATCACGAAAAAATTGGACATATGTTCTTTGTAACAAGAATTTTAAATGAAACCCTTTTTTTGAACGTTTGGGTAGTTGTTGGGCGGTAACTTTTTGACCCGATAGTCTACGTAGCTCAAAAACAATAGCGACGTTTCTGATCTCCTTATGAACATGTGTACCAGTTTTCAAAACGATTCTAAACAGACGGACAGACATACATTAAGGCGATATTTATGCCGAGGGCGACAGAGCCCGAGGGCCTCCGGCCCGAGGGATTGTAAGTCGCCCAAGGGTTAAATATTGAGTAATGCCTGAGGTGCATGCAACATTTTATTTTTCATCGTTCCAAAGAATGCATTTCCAATATGCAAATGTCATGATTATTGTTTTCCCAACATTAGAGTGCTTTATACGAATCAAGTTGCATCTTTTTTATTACATAATATAACTCCGTCAGTCAATTTGACAGGCCGTTTGAGGGCATAATGAGATGATCATTGTTCATAAATAGGACTAAACGCCATTGAAACGCATACTAAAAATCGAGCAAAAAAGTACACTTTTTTTGACAAAAAAGGTCGGTAATTTGATTACTGCAAAAAAATTTAATAAGATGCCCTTATAACGGGCGATCAAAAAAGGCTTACCGTCGAGTCGCCTTTTGAAGTTCAAGTTAAATGTGTTTTCCCAATCCCATGTAAACAACAATTTTAAAGGTAACTTGACGGTAACTCTTTTTTGATCGCGTAGTACTTGGAGTGGCCGGAGCGTACAGACAGAGGAGTAGCTAGGGTGGGGCACGTGCTCTGGGCGACGCTCAAAGTGTAGCGCTAAAATCGCCAATTATTAACGATCCTAGAGATCGTTTATAATTTTATTTTTCATTTGCCCATTATATGTCAATTATATCTGTCATATGTGATATATGAAGCAGTCTATTGCCCAAGGGCATAATGAGAGGGCATAATGGATTGTCATCTCATTATGCCCTTGGGCAATAGACTGCTTCATATATCACATATGACAGATATAATTGACATATAATGGGCAAATGAAAAATAAAATTATAAACGATCTCTAGGATCGTTAATAATTGGCGATTTTAGCGCTACCCTTTGAGCGTCGCCCAGGGCACGTCCCCACCCTAGCTACTCCTCTGTCTGTACGCTCCGGCCACTCCAAGTACTACGCGATCAAAAAAGAGATACCGTCAAGTTACCTTTAAAATTGTTGTTTACATGGGATTGGGAAAACACATTTAACTTGAACTTCAAAAGGCGACTCGACGGTAAGCCTTTTTTGATCGCCCGTTATAAGGGCATCTTATTAAATTTTTTTTGCAGTAATCAAATTACCGGCCTTTTTTGTAAAAAAAAGTGTACTTTTTTGCTCGATTTTTAGTATGCGTTTCAATAGCGTTTAGTCCTATTTATGAACAATGATCAATTTTTGAGACAGTGAATCGCGAATGTCAATGATATTATACATATAAATTTTATGGGTTAGTAAAGACCCCTATGCAAACAAATTTCGTGTACAACAAGTGTTGAAAACTTTCAAAACTAGTTGTACAAGTAACTATTGATATAGTCCATTTGTTATTACTGTTCCGATATGTAATTAACCCCACTAAATGCAGCGTTAACTTTTTTTACTTCACGTCGTCGATTTAATATAAAAATTCTCTCAAACAAACTGCAACGCATTATTGTTGACGTGCAGAATAAAAATGAACAAAGTACGGTTCCGGAACGGTTAATCGATTCTAGATCGTGTTGTTTACGTCAAATAATATTAATTGAACTGAATTTCGCTTGCATCCAGTTTTTGTTTACAGCAATGTTGTTTAAGCCTACTGGATGGCATGCCATGCAAGGGAAATTCACTTCAATAAACATTCTTTAACGTAAGCGATACGAGCTAGAATCGCTTAACCGTTGCGGTACCTTACTTTATTCATTCTTATTCTGCACGTCAAAAAATAACGCGTTGAAGTTTATTTGAGAGAATTATTTATATTAAATCGACGACGTGAAGTAAAAAAAAGTTAACACTGCGTGTAGTGGGGTTAATACATATCGCAATAGGTAATAACGGATGGACTATAGCACACGTTTCATTTGGTGTTAGCGATGATATCGCACCTTAAAGATTACGAATTTTCCGAAAAAAATGCATCCTTTTGTTAATGGTCAAAATTCACGATTTCTTCATCTTTTCCTTTTAAGAAAGTACGCAATTTTGAATACTTGCTTGTGTCTAAATTTGTTTTTTAGTATTGTCTGCACCATGAAGCATTTAGTCTAAAGCGCAGAAAATTTATATATCTTTGATTTTTGAAAAAAATATAAGTAGGTAGGTACTCGCTGGTCCATTAACTAAGTTGCCATTGCGGTCACTTTAATTGATATTCTTCTGTATTGCTTCCGTTGCAAAAGTGCAAACAATATTGTAGATATACAGCTTGTATCAAATTGCGTATTAAGTACAGAGATCTCGTTTATCGGCTTAGATAGAATTAGAGAGTTGGTTAAATGGAGGAAAATGATCTATGCCTAAATAAAATCAAAAAACATAATTTCCCCCTATCTAAAGTTTCCTAAATATGGCACATGTTCTGCCTGCCCCACCCTAGCTACGTCTCTCTGCTTGTGTGGAGAGGACGTCGTTGGTCTGTATCTTCTTTCCTTTGAGAGTGAATTCACACAATCAGTGAATCTTTGATTTAGTGATTGATTGTTACCAACATTAAAAAAATGCATTATAATTGGTACTTTGATTTTGAGTTATTTTGCATTTTTTGGATTCCTTTAATGTTACCCTTATATATACGAAATGGGAAAGGAAGGGGGCGCAATCGATGGTTGTGCCCCAGGGCGTTGAAAGGGTTAATCCGGTTCTGAGGATAAACCCCAAATTGCTTTTTCTTTGTAAATTTTCCAATTTACTCCGATAATTAAGAAAATACCTATAATTTAATTAATGGATTTACACACATGGAACACGACGAAACATTTTCTTAATTAGACGAATGCCAAAGGGATTCTATAATAAAAATGTTCGAATTTAATGCAGACCTCTCCCAAACATTAATCGGATCCTGCCTATTCGTTCATTTCTTGGATCAAGCTAACTGACCATATGCCTCCATTACTAGGTCTCTAGTCTCTAGATTACCCTGGCTATGACCTATATTGTGCCTTATTATAGGTCATCCTCCACGGAAAGTCATTTACAAGAAATAAGTTGTAGGTATTATTTAAATAGGCAAAAAGTGTCAAGTTCATGATACGATGGGCTGAAGGCACGGATGTTCTTACAATGTGACCTTCGTTGGTACAAGTCTAGGAATGTGCTGAACTCATCAGTACTGAACACGACCGCAATATAACACATATTTTTCTTTTGCATTTTGCAAATGAGTAGGTATTTGTAATCAACCGCAATTTCCTTTTGATCAGATTTGTTTTCATGTGAGCCTCGCGTTTATAAAGCGGATTAGGTACACGGTGGACACAGTACAAATAAAAGAGAAGGCCTCCTCAAAAGATGTGATTGATTTGGAATTTGAATAATACCAAATTTTGAAATTAGGATCCCCACTCTTTGCTAGTAAAACGCGGGTAATTAATTTCAATGCTGCGCAAGCGTTTCAGTTATACCCGCGAGTGTAGGGGCGTACTTTACATTTACCGGTAAATGCGTTAGCAGCAGCAACCTTATATAAGGTTGGAAGTCCCCACATTCCAACAGCAAAAGTAGAACAAATTTCGTTGTGATTGTGTTGCGGTTTACTACTTAGTTTGAATATGGAGTACACTCAAGTAACTTCGCCTAATTATTCATACATTTTCAATTTCGAATCCGACTTCATTCATCAGGAGACCTTAAGATGGATGAACAAGAATTGGACTATGGGATTTTACTATGTGGGGCTTTATATGATTTTTATTTTCGGTGGACAACATCTGATGAAGAACCGAGCACGCTTCGAGTTACGAGGGCTGCTTTCGCTGTGGAATACGTCTTTAGCAATATTTAGTATAATGGGTGCTATCCGTACGGGGCCGGAGTTGATCCACATTTTAACACACCACGGTCTGTACCATTCCGTATGCGTGCCTTCCTTCGCCGTTCAAGACCGAGTTTCCGGCTTCTGGACTTGGATGTTTGTGCTAAGCAAGTTACCGGAATTGGGTGATACGATATTCGTAGTGCTTCGAAAACAACCGCTTATATTTTTACACTGGTACCATCATATTACGGTGCTTTTGTACTCGTGGTTTTCCTATACCGAAACGTGCGCTAGTGCTAGGTGGTTTATTGTCATGAATTACCACGTCCACGCAGTTATGTATTCGTATTATGCCTTACGAGCGATGGGGTACAACCCACCTCGCCGATTCGCCATGTTCATTACATCACTTCAATTGCTGCAAATGGTCGTGGGGTGTTTTGTTAATATCTGGGCTCAGCAGTTGAAAAATGATCATAGGGAATGTAAAGTGTCTAATGTTAACATTAAACTTTCTCTAGCGATGTACTTCAGCTACTTTGTGTTATTCGCAAGATTTTTCTACAAAACTTATATGAGTGGTGTTCGACGAAAGCAACATCAAACAGTTTCACCAGAGGATTATTCCCTGTTGAAATCTAAACAGCACTAACATGATATTAGCGTTCATAAGTGGAGTTAAATTTTGATTGATGAGCTTGATATTGGCATGGTGTAAATATGTTTTGTTATTTTCTTTTACAGGAATATGCTAGTTCAGTACTTGGATACTACATTCCGAATTTGATTCTTCGTGATTATTGTCTGCGATATAAGAATTTATGTATTTTGTTTTGTGCTTGAAAATTGTTTAATTTCCTACTTATTTTGTGGTAGATAATACAAACTTAAACTTAGGGTTCTAGTCATATTTGTTTATACAGAGGACAATAGTACGTAAATTTATCTTTCTGTGATGATATTAGTGCATTACTTTAGTTATTAAGTACCTACCACTATGAATTGACAGGTGTCTGATGGAAATCGATAAATATTTGATTTAATTATTATTTATGTGTACCTACATAATGACATGGTGGCTTTAGTAAAAGTTTGTGCACAACTTTTTTTATATTCTTACATTTGTTAAAATGCACACATTATTTACATTTAGTGAATGTCCTCACTTTGCTGGTGAATGTAAATGCGACCTCTCGAAGATCCAAAGAACTTCCAAGTTCATTGCCAGTATTTGAAAATAAACTAATTTTTTATAATCATTACCAAGAATTTTTATTGAAATCCCAAGTGCAACGGGCAACTCTCTTTGGTCACAATTGGCAGTTCCTAAATTGAGTTATCGCACCGATTATTGCCGGGGGCGACGTGATCTCCAAATATCTGCAATTCTCTTCCAATGACGTAATGAGTAATTTTTTTGCCAAAGGTTATCTAGCTTTTTAAATTGATAAAATAATTTGCAAAAGGAGACCATCGATTTTGATTTGAAAATAATTTCGCCATGATTTCAAAACTTTGAACCAATTTCCCTTACCATTACATAATATACCTAATTGTTTATAGATGCGTGACTACCTAATTAAATTGATTTCTTTTCGATTTCTCTTCGTCATTCTGCTTGGCATACTAATTTTGCTATTTTTAATTTTGAAGTTCATGCTGTTGTAATATTATTGTAGTTTTGAAGGTTTTTTTCTTTGCGTTTAGGTTTATTTCACTTCAGTGTTTCAATAAGATTTATTCTCAGATTTATTATTATTATAAGCCGACACTTTACTGTTAATTGTAAGAATTGCACATCTTTTGTTTTATCATGGCACACTTGGGCTCGGAAAAGCGAACGTTTGTTTTTACAAATTGGCGTTTCGACTTGGTTTTTCTCTGAAATTTTCTTATGGGATAGATGGTTTTGTTTATACCAGTGGAAAATTTGTAGTTTTGTTTAGGGGGGTGCCATTTGAAATTTTAAAAAATTTGACAGTTAGCGAAGGTCAATCAAAAATGTTATTTTTTCGATAAAGTACCTAAAATAAATTGTCATTGTGGAAGAGGTCTTAACCTGTGCCTCAGTCCAAAAATTAGCCGCCTGCGTGATTTAGTTTCTCTAAAAAAATTTCGAAGAACTGTCACATTTTGACAAAAAAAGGTTATAACAGCGAAATCGTTAAAGTTAGGGGTATAACATGTTACATAAAAAAATAAGTACTTTTCAAGTACCTACTCTCCAAATTAGTACCTAATAAAATATGGGGTGTTCCCTTTAAAAAAATGCAAGTTTGATACGCCACTGGAATACAACACGCCCCTGGTAATCAAAAAGACTTTTTTTGTTATCTTTTATGGGAAATGAGTTATGATCCGAAGGATCTTAGGTACTACACCCTGTATATGATACCTACTAATTTAACACAAATATTTTCCGTTGGGTTCGCATGCATAGATATGAAAAATCCATCAAGTTGAACATGTTTTTCCAATTATGAATTTCATTAATTACAATAAGTCAGGCAATAAGTAAATCAGAAAAGTCAATCTGGGGATTACATTCAATCAGGAAAATACGTGTGGTGGCAATATATAGTTTTTAAATATTTTTAATAGTATTTCCAAACGCCAAAAACATTTTATTTTCTGTCCCGAAAAACGGCCACGCTATTTTTTTTAATTTTAATATTTATTTTAATAGTTGAACTCCACGGTTGACTGATTTCCTTTCCGCTAAAGTGTAAAAAAGTGCACTGCATTGTAAACGTTTCAAGATGAAAGATATCGAAAAGAATGAGTTGGATACGAATGTGATGGGAACGTTAAAGTATATTAGGAGCACTTAAAATAGAATTTAAAAACAAATGGAAAACATCGAGATGGTTCATGAGGATATTGAAAGTTTGAAGGTCATTTTCAGGAGAACAAAAAATTTGATAGTGTAAGGTAAATTTAATTCCGCGGCTTATTTACAATTAACAGCGCGAACTATTTATTACTCAGACGTTGAAATTGGAACTGACTGAAATGCAATTCGCCTCCTCTTTCTCGAACGCTTCCGAGAGTTCTAGAATGTTCTCGAACAAGCACGGCATATTTCCCGAAAAAGATTTCATCACACGCAAGGTGCACGACTGAAAATTTACATAGATATCCCTCAAGATCATACGAAGGTGCAGTGATAGATATTTGTGTAACTAAAGAAGGAGTTTTTCAACTCGAGTTCAAAGTTGAGTGAGCGTAGCGAGTGTGTCAATTGAACGATAGTTGAAAAACACTTTCTACTCATGGTATAATTTTCTACTCAAGTTTTACACATCATTTTTTCTGAACCTACAATCAAAATTAAAAAATTATCGTATGCAATAATGACGTTTGACACAGCAATCTAGATACGGATATCTTTCAATTTTAAATGCCATTATGAAGATTATCTTAGCAATTGTTCTTTACTTTCCTCACTAGAGAGAAAAAGCACACTTTCTTCACTCTTTTTAGAGACGAAAATAGTTGTTTCTAAAGTAGTTTCAGAAAAAAAATTGTCAGAAGAGTAAGTGGAAGCTAAAATGTTGTCAGACGCTGCCAAAGTTGCGACAAATATCGGAAAATTTACATTTAAAAAAAACTTCTGATCGTCTACTATAGATCAAAGAATGTGCAAAGTGTCAGAAGTGAAAGTAGAAGAGATTATGACAAAATATGGTAGGAAGTAACACAAACCCCACACCTGACACCCGTGTAACGTAAATTTAATTACGTGGTTTATTCATTTACAATTAATTATTATCTATTAAAGTAATATACAATTTACGCAAACTATTTATATTACTTCGGCGTTGAAATTTGAACTAACTGGATACGCAATTCGATTCGATATAGCAAAGGCCCCCTCTTTCCCGAAAGATCTCGAACGCCTCCAAACGCTCCCGAGTATTCTAGAACATTTTCGAACAAACACGTCTTATTTCCCCGAAAAAAGATTGCGTTACATTCGCCATTCTTTATCGCCGATGACTAATCTTTCATGGTGCCCGATGTCTATCGAGATTTCTGGAATGTTCGCTACAATAGGAAGAAAATTGACCGAATCGAGGAAAATTTAGATAGGAACTTGAATGGAATATTTCGGGAAATTTGATGAGAGTTTGAGCAATTTGACACTAGAACCTGATCGAAGGAGCGAGGGGCATTGAGAGGACAACTTAAGAAGTGCAAATTTTAGAGGAACTTAAGAGGAAGTTTGAGGGAGCAAGAAAGGGAATTCAGAACTGGAATATATGCTGATACAGACACTTGGAGGAAGCTGAAGAGAATCTTAAGAAGAAGGAAGATTTGACGAGAACTTGAGAAGAACTTGCGAAGAATTTTATGGGACTTTAAAGATGAACACTGAAGAAGTTAAAAAGTGAACGTGAAACTAATTTGAGGAGAACTTGGGAAGAATTTGAGAAGTTGTCCACTGCTCATGGGGCAGGTTGACGAACATAAAAGTCTCTCTGTAGGACCTCAAATTTGAAATTTTAGCAATATGATAAACCGTTCTTTTAGGTAATACACAGAAGGGGTAGACATCGGAGCATAAACGCTATACAGAATAACAGGGATTTTCCCCTGGAAATTAGAAGGTATAGGAAGCGCTCCAATGCGGTCTATACAATCGACTCACATCACATATACTACTATTGGAGTAATTTCTCTAAAATGAACAACACATAAAGGAATTGAATACTCGAAATAGTATTTTTCTATCACTTTCGATATAACTGGAAGTGGCCATAAATTTCAAAATGTAAATGGGACCTACTTACACCCTGTATATTTGTACATTTTTATGTTCAAAGATTTTCGAATTCTACAATTTTACAGCTGATATGTTATTGTCAGTAATTTGCATCACTATATAAAGTATGGATAACAACGTATCAGCCCTATACGAGGAAAGGTCTCAGCATTGTTTATTCAAAATAAAGGTCTCAGTATGCGAAAAATGAAAAACAAATGATGTGCAGTAGGCAACACATCATACACTGTAGCGTGCCGCATTATCTTTGTTCGAGTTCTCTTCTCTTAGCACTTTCCATAAATTGTGCTTATTTTGCCCCGTAGCAAATGTGTGGAAATAGTTTAACCTTTAAACTTGTATAGGCTTTTATCTTTTAAATGGTATTTAACAAATCTTAAAACTTTAGGGATTGGCTGTGCTCATCTTGTAAATTCTAGACACAACAGCTTCCTAGCTCAAACCAATTAAAGCAAACGTTTTTGACAGTCTATACCTAATCGCTGAGTGAGAAATAGTAAAAGTGCTGAGAGGATGAAATTAGCAATATTCAATAATATATTACAATTAGCCAATCCCAATCTGGTATTTACAAGAACGTTTAAAAGCAGCAGTTGTAACATCTCTTCAACATTTAAAATCATGAATAGTGTCTAACATGGCTTCATAAATGACAAATCAACTGATACGGCTGTGTGTGATTTTATGACCGAAGTAATTTCTGCTGTTGACCGTCATATCTTAGGTGCCGGTCACTTTATTGACTTTTCCAGCTGCGTTAAAAATCGTAAATCACAGCACTTTAGTGCATGTTTCATTACGGTAATCGCGGCACTGCTCCTAAGTTGTTTAAATACCTGTACCTGTACAATAGATCGCAAATGGTTGTATTGCTTAGTGGTGATGCTTTAACTGTACAGTCAGGGGTACCACAGGGTTCAGATTGAGGTCCCACATTGTTTGTAATGTACAGGTTGATACAAACTCGAGTGCCACCATTGGGATCACGGAAACTGTAAGTGATGTAGGTACGTAGTTTAAATTGGCAAAGTTGCGTAAGTAAGTATATTGATACTTAACAAAATGGCAGTTTGAAATTGAAAAAAAAAGAAAAATTACTATTACACATTTTTAGCGTTAACGACAAAAGCACAAATGTTACTTTCAGTGTCAATTATTGTAAAATTTCTGACAAACCTGCAGCCCTCAATATTATTTTATTTTATAGCATAGGTATATTAAATTGACATTTCAAAAGGTTTGAATGAGTAGGCTAAGCCGTTCTTTAACTGTAAGGATAGATAAAGTCGAGGATAACGTGATCACTTTAACCGTAAGGGTAGATAAAGTGAAACAGATGATTGTGCATTCTAATGACATATTGTCATAATTGTAACTAGCATGTTCAATATTCGGATGGATTTGATATTCAAATAGTATAGTAGTATGTTTAAAGGGTACGGTATACCCTTAGATTATCAAAACAGACCATTGTCCGATCTGATTTGGAATTTGTAAATAGTTGAGGAGACAGTTGCATTTCCTAGGTACATGATGCCCCTTCGGTGAAGGACTTTAGTAAAACACAACTTTCAAATGAATCAAGTTTCTATATGACTCTTATTAGTATAAATAATAAATAAATTTGCAAATTATACCCAAAAAATTAAAAACAAAACATTTAAAAAATAATTGAAATTAACTTACTTTAAACTGTATATTAAACAAACTGATGTATCCTTATACATCACCACTTAGAATGAAACGTTACAAAAGTTGAACAAGAAACTAGCATGCCCAAACTGCCAAATACATTCTTTAATTTATAAAGTATATGAACTTTTTGTAACGGAGCCAGATTTATCCATTGTATCTTTGTGGCTCTGATACCCAATTAACACTTTCGTCGGAATACGTAGTCTATCTTTAACTTTACGTCCAATTTCTAGAACCGCATTTGTATTATTGGCATCAGACGTCCATAAACCTTGAAAGTAAGCGTTTGTTACAACAAACACAATTACAGCATGATGCTTTACCTATTTTATCACCTTTTCCACGTACATTTACTACTGCGCCACACACCTCATCGGAATTCTCAAACGCCTCTCCAATTAGACATAAGATCTAAAAATATGCTAAGACTCACAAAATCCACATCACCTAACCTACAATATCTAGCCAGAATCGGTCTAATTCTTGGCGTTGTTTTTTCTCTAAACTGATTAGCCATCGACCTCCGCGTCTATTCATTTCATCCTCCCACATGGGCTTGACTCCCTTTTTAAAAAGGGAATAGTCGCATCCCTGTTTCAGTTCGCTCGCTAACTTTATATGATTGTACAAACTGCAAGCAATCGTCTATTTTGCTGCGATTAAAACCTTATCTTACCTCCAAAAATCTTCGACGGTTTGAAACGAAGCAATTTCCTTCAAATTGTTTTCCCAGGAATTATTTCGGTCGTTTTCGAAGTACCACAAAGTCCAGCAGTTTTGTAAAGGATGCTTTATCGAGTAATCGATCGGTATATCTATTTGTTCGGTCTTCTCTTGCTTGTCATTCTGTGTTAAGATAATAGGCATTATCATCAGGGGCAGTAGATCAAATGCAATATGTTGCAGCGTGCAAATGGTCAATGGAAAATTGTAGGGTGGGATCGGGGAAAATGGTTATTTTAATAGAGATCGTTACTTACTTCTGTTTCTGTTAAATTCGACATAATTGTAAACCAATATATTAAAAGAAATTGAAAATTAATTCCTAAAAATACAAAAGGAATGGGTCAGATTTTTGACAAGAGAACCAACTTTGATGATCAAATTTACTACACCAACTATTTTGATTTGAATTTAAGCGGGAACAGTCTTATTTTCCCTATTTACGAATTATTTTATTTCTGCATTAGAAATACGTGTTCATACTACACACAAATACTTAGGGATCTATGAAAAGTGCATGTCGATTATGTAAGGATACAAAAGTAAGTAGGTAACAAAAAAATTAGGAGCAAGAGGCAATAAGAGTGCATTTTCCAATTTGTTTTTTCGATTTTTATAGCCTTTATGGACACTTCATGCCTTAACGAGAATACAAACACAAAATAATTGGTAATTTCTGATCGAATGGCACCAATACCAATAAGTCTGTAAGTGGTGTATAGGCCCGAAGCCTTTGTGACTCAGATGGACAGACAGACGGACACAAAGAGCGCAAAAGTGCACTTTTTATTTTTTGAGAGTGAAAGTGCACTAACAAGAATACTTAGAGGTATAGGGATTTAGGCAAGTAGATACTGTTCTTTATATTCACTTAGGCCCGGTGCACACATCCGATTTTTTGAGGTGCGGGGCGCCGATGAGGCACCGCAGCGACAGCCGCAGAATTTGATTCAGACGAAATTCGTATTCTGTGTATGTCTAGCATGGACGTTGGAGATGGAGGATATTGAGTGAATCCGTTCACAGATTTTTACCAGACATTTTATCAAACCTTTCGCAGCACTCCATGCTTTCTTTTTTTCACATGATCATGGTAACTTTTAGAAGCGACATTCCAGATTACTGGATACTTTTTTATTTCATCGATAAAAAGCTCCATTATCAATTTCATCCACCATATTGTAAGTAGGTAGGTACATAAACGGTGAAATGCCGCGTGTGAAGTATATAACGATAACTAACAATGTAAGTACTTACTACAAACTCGGAGACGTGGGAGCGTCACGATTGCGGGTTCGTAGGGAACTGCGGTCGAAAACTGACGCACGCTGGTCGTACAGCTCCGCAACGGCGCCGGACAACTGCGTGCATTGCACGATATAACTGAACGTATGAAATCACGCAACTCCGGCATAGCACGTAAAAAAAACGGATGTGTGCACCGGGCCTTAAGAACGAAACAGCCGAACAGTTACTTTTTGCATTGTTTAAATGCTTTTTGTTACCTACAGCGTGTATCTTGCGCCCGGGAATAGTTTAAAATCTAACAATTTTTCCGTTATTAGTGCTGCAGTTGAATTCTTTTTCAAATTTTAAAAGTTTAACTTCAACATTTGCATGTTCAAAGATAGGTATCTAGATGCCATAAATTTCACACTTCCATTTAGAAGTGGGCCATCTTTGGGGTACGAATTTAGAGCGAATATTTTTAATAAAATTACAAAATGGAATATCGAAATACCGTAATTCCATCTTCCAATGTGCTATGATTTTCGAGAAAAAAGTTAAAGAAAGAACGCACATTTTTGTGGTGTAGTTCCCATATGAAACGATGTGGACCTTTAGTTTATTAAACAGCGGATGTGACGCATTCCTTCCGCGAAATATGACGTGTTTGTTCGAGAACTTTCTAGAAATATAGGCGTTTGCATACAGTGGTAGCATCTAAGACCCATCGGATCGTAATTCCTTTACCATAAAAGATATTGTAAAAGGCTTAGAGCAAAATTGTACACAATTCCTGCCAGCTCCGAAAGTAAACCATACATGTGAAACACGAAGTTGTTGTGGCAACAAAGTTCTTTTTAATAGTACATCAAATCGAGACCGATTTTGTTAATCACTTTAATAATTAGCTTTCCATCATAAGTTATTGTTAATTACATATGGTTTATTTAATTACATTTAATTAACAATACATTTAAAAGCGTTGAAATGAATTGACAGTCAAAATATTATTCACTCACATATACATAATTTATAACAGCGTCAACTTTTATTACTTTAGCGTTGAAATTGGAACTGTCTTGAATAGCAATTCGATTTGCTTATATAGTAAATTCGAGTCTTCTCGAGTGCTACCGAACGTTCTCAGGTGTAGAATGTTCTCACACAAAACATGTCATATTTCCCTGAAAAATTGCGTCATATCCGCAGTCGTTCTTTATCGCTCATGACTAATCTTTCATGGCGCGTCGATGTCTATCGGGATTTCTAGAATATTCGCTACATTATGGTTCTTCATTGTGATACAATAGCACTTTTTATCCAGACCTGAATTTAAAATTTCTCAACACATGAGTTTTAAAAAAGAAAAACTTTGTCATTGAACCTATATTCTGTATTCTTAAAATAAATAAAAGAGTAACAATGGTACTAACTTATTTAAGACCTCGAGGTCGCAATAGGATACGTACATAATATTTGGGTTAAAAGATCGGAGGCGATTCTTTCAGACACGAGGTTTTCGCGAGCGCATCTTCTAGAGGCTGTTATTTCGGGGAAAAATTTGTCTGCGAATAAGATTTTCTTTCAAAATTTCCGAGGTGAATTTAACAGGTCGAATTTGTTCACGGAAACAGATTCAAATTCTACAGTTTAGTTTGAAGCATTGAATAATAATTTTTTATTCAATGGTTTAAAAGGCAAATAATCCAAAGCTTGTGGAGTAGAGGTTTCTTGAACGTGAATTTTCTCCAGCGGCAGAATTTTGGGAAGCAAATTTTGTCACAGAACTGAAAACCTAGGTACATATAAAATTATATGCATATAGCAGTTATTCCAAGTACAATTTCCCTTGGAGCAAGAGTATTCCAGCAGTGGGGCGAACATTCCTTGTGGAGGATACAAATTTTGCAGAGGCAAATATTCTATGTGTTCTTTAATGATAAAACAATTACGTCAAACGAGAAGGAATTACAATGATGAAACGATGCCCGTTTTATTAAAAATTGTAATGCGGTTTCAACAATTACATTAACAACATTAACATTGAATTTATAAAATAACAGGCAATAGGAAAACAAAAATGGAGAAATAGAGCGTTGAAAAACTACAGAAAATAATAATATTATTTTTCTACTATCTACTATAATATCGAATACAAAAGATACGCAAGAAAAATAAATATTGCCAAAATCCGAAGTAGTTTTTTAAAATATATTTTTATTGTCAGCTCAACAATTAACATTGTTATACATAGCATAGATAACATATGTGGGTAAGTTAATTGGAAAATGACATTAAAGACTAATTAATTGCGTCTTAAGAATAACAATACTTTTGTCATTGGATATATGTTATAGTCAGTCCCTTCCTCAGAGGTTATCAGGTCTTGTGGTAGCTTACGTTTGAGTCAAGTGTGACTTCTAACACGAAATTTTAAAGCCTAATTTAGAGTTATATCTCGAAATTTTAAAATATCAAAGCAAAGCAAGCAAAATTTCGTTTTAAAATTTAGAGATATAACTCGAAATGTTGCTTTAAAATTTCGTGTTAGAAGTCGAAATTTTAGATTAATTTATTTTGTTCGTGTGTCCCTTTAAGGGCGTCGTAGCTGTTTGAGTCTGCTGTAGCACTGTATTAATTTTTGATTAATGTGATAACTCCTTTGTCCTTTGGGTTCCATTCTATTGCGTTTCCATTAATT